TCTCTCTCTCTCTCTCTCTCTCTCTCTCTCTCTCTCTCTCTCTCTCGTGCCTTCGTGCACGCCAAAAAGGAAGCATGACTGTCCAGACTGTTTCACCGGAGTTTGAACCCCTACAGTCTGCCGAAGATGCATCTGCGTGCGTGTGTGTGACGTCATGTTCGCTTCACACGACTCCATAAGAACAGGCTTGACCATGCCAGACTAAACCAAGCACCGATTCCCCGATGCACGTAGCACGAAGCACCGATACCACCAACCAACCGTCGATGCACGTAGCACGGAAACCAAACCAAGCACGAACCAAGCACGGAGTAGCACAAAGTAACACAAATGCACCCAGTAGCACCAAGCAGCATGAAAGTGGCACCAATGCACGAACCAAACACAACCAAGCACGAAGTACCAAGAACGAAGTACCAAGCACTGAGAGAAAGAAAGGGAGAGGGAGAGAGAGAGGGAGAGAGAGACAGAGAGTGAGAGAGAGAGAGAGCGTTACGGTAGGCAGGCCGTAGGCAGGTCGCATGGGTCGCGTAGGCTGTAGGTAGGTCGCCTAGGTCACCTAGGCGGGCGTAGGCAAGTCAGTAGATCGCATAGGCAAGCCCGTAGAGCACGAAGTTCCAAGAACGGCGTACCAAGCACTGTGAGAGAGAGGGAGAGAGCGGGTCATAGAAAGAGAGAGAGAGAGAGAGAGAGAGAAAGAGAGAGAGAGAGAGAGAGAGAGAGAGAAAGAGAGAGAGAGCGCTACGGTGGGCAGGCCGTATGTGAGCAGGGCATAGGTGGAGGTGAGGTGGGCAGAGGCGGATGTGAGGTGGGCGGAGGTGAGCGTAGGTGGAGGCGGGAGCGGAGGAGAACTGGCAGGGGCATGTCGAGGGATCAGTGGGAGAGGAATCCCAAGGGGTTGGGGGAGGCGGAGGGAGGGGGCCGGCGGGCGGAGGCGCAGGCGAGGTGGCCCTCGAGCGGAGAAGAGGTGGGTGGAGGCAGGGAGGAGATGGTGGGCGGTGGCGGAGTGGAGGTGGGCAAAGGCGGAGAGGAGATGGCAGGCGGAGGCGGAGGGAAGGTGGGCGGAGGTGGGCGAAAGTGGGCGGAGGTGGAGGCGAGGTGGGCGCCGGGCAGAGAAGAGGTGGGCGGAGGCAGAGAGGAGATGGTGGGCGGAGGCCGAGAGGAGATGGTGGGCGATGGTGGAGGGGAGATGGCTGGAGGAGGCGGAAGGGAGGTGGGCGGAGGCGTAAGGTGGGGGCCGGTGGCGGAGTCGAGGTGGGCAGGCGGGAGGGCCTGTTGGACTTCAGTGCAGGGAAAGCACCGCCCTGCAACGGGCCAAAGCGTCGCCCTGCAACGGGCCCTGTTTCCAACGCGCTTGCCAATCCGGGCCGCTTGTGGTCCTACCGGCCCGAGAGAGAACGTTAACAACAGTCGTATTTTTCATCACCACTTCAGGACACCCTTCACCACTTCAGGATGCAGCCTGCCTAAACAGGTGGTTTTCAAGGTCTTCGGACCTTTCACCACTTCAGGACCATTCATGTCTGAAAATCCTGAATGGTCCTGAAGTGGTGAAAGCTGCGAAGACCATGAAAACCACCTGTTTAGGCAGGCTGCATCCTCAAGTGGTGAAAGGTGGTTTTCATGGTCTTCAGACCTTTCACCACTTCAGGACCATTCAGCATTTTCAAACTGCCCAAAACTCTCACTTGACCACTTCAGGACACCGTTCACCACTTCAGGATGCAGGGTCTTCGGACCTTTCACCACTTCAGGACCATTCAGGATTTTCAGACTGCCCAAAACTCTCACTTCATAATTTTCATTCCTGAATTTTCAGCTACCCGATAACCGCTTGTGCGGCCCGACGGTCCGGATTTCCGCACGATCTTAAGACTTTAAGATCGCGCGACGATCTAGGCCGTCCGGCAAAGCGGACAGTCTGGATCGTCCCGCGATCTTAGTTTTAAAGTCTTAAAGTCTTAAGATCGCGCAGAAATTCGGGCCGTCTGTCGGTAGGCCGCGGGCTGCCCAGATCGGCCAGACCGTTTTTTTGGACTTTCGCTGACGAATCAGAGGCTGAACCTCAACAGTCTGGCCGCGATTTGTTTTACTGATGGATAAGGACTATTAAGGAGCATTAGACCCATCATTTTGCCCAGAGTTCTCGATATCCATAAGAGGATTGGTTAAACTTACTCCAACCCTGCAATCCTGGCAGACTGAGGTCCAAACTGCTGACGAGTATGGCAGTAAGTCTCATAGACTACCGTCTTATCCCGAGTAGAATGCTCGGTCATTATCGCTGTACCTAGACTGAAAGTTGCTGCAAATACAGCTACAATGACCGGGCGTTCTATTCGTGCGAAGACGGTAGTTGGATGGTAAGTGTTTGGGTAACCTACTAACCTGCTTTCCCTACACTTATAGAAATCGCTTTTGTGGAGTTGTGTAAAGTGTCATCAATTAAGAGACGCCGCAGCTATAGAGGGTTCAGCTCCTGATGAGTCAGGAAACTCCGACAAAACAGTCGGCCACAACCCCCCGTTTCCTGTCCTTTTCTCCCTTTCTCCCCTACGGTTCACTGGGCACCCAGGCGGTTTCCCCCATACATAGTCTTACAATTTTTCGGAGACCTGTGTTTTTGGTAAACAGTCGCCTGTGCCCGGTCACTGCAACCTCCTGCATAAGGAGGTACCCCTTTTCCTGAAGTTAAGAGGCTATTTTGCTGAGTTCCATAGATAGAGTTGTCTCTCGCCCCTCTGTATCCTCTGCCTATATAAGCATCAATGACTGCCCCAGAACTTATACCCTGAGGTGGGCACCCACCACTCCCCTCAAGGGTACCTGTGACGAAAATCAAAGCAGACTATCACTCACCCAAAGCAGACGATAAATTCTACAGACTGCAGGTTCACACCCCAGCACAAGCCAGCAAGGCCCACACACCTCAAGGGTACCATTTTTCGATTTGTGTGTTGTTGTCCTGGCACAGGGGTTATGCTAATCTTCTCTGTATCATTCCTATTTTAACAGATGTCCCAAAGGACCCCATGGAACAAGGAACCATCGGGCACGGCCAGAAAACATAAACTACAGAGCAGAGCACACATACACCACTGGTCCTAGCGGCACAGCATGTATTCATGTGGGTGAGAATGCCAGACAATTCGCAAGAGTAGAAAACCGTTTTCATGCTTCTATTTGCAGCAATTGTGCATTGCTGCATACACAATTATTACCTTGGAGCCTGCGCAATTGTTGAGTTGGCTTTCCATGGCACCGTTCGCAAAACGAGTCCTGAGTCGATCCCAGGATGGATGAAAATGTTTGACAAAGAGATCATAGAGTTTGGGCTGCGCAGCAGAACAACAGTCGGACCAACACCGTCATCTTCTGTTTTCACTCATTGGAAAAAAAAAAAAAAAAAAAAAAAAAAAAAACCGAGAAACACCATCATCATCTATGGACTAAACAGGCTGAAAACAAATGGCACAACAAGAACAACTTTTTCTGTCATTTCCGCTTACACAACCCCTACCATCCGCAGAAAAAAAATAAATCAGAGTGAGATTGTGTACATCCCAAACTTCTGGCGGCTCGGGTCTAGCGAACCAGAATGCCTGGCGCCGCCAGGCAAAAAGAAGAAAAACGGCACTCGTGCTGTTTCGTTTTTTCATTGGGCCCGCAGCGCTTCGTAGGCTCGTGAAAAACAGCCTTGGACGTAGTGGTGGTTTCAGCTCAACATGAACTAACACAGGCCAAAGAACAGAAAATGGGAATGTCTGATAAGCAAGAGCAATATGCAAACAGCCATGCTGTACCTGCACTGTGACTGAATGTTACACAAAAACAAAAAAGAAAGACTTCAAAAAAAGTAACTGCTGACGAACAGGTCACAAGCTCGAACTTCAAATCTAAGGATAGGCACCAGCAGAGCAATGCAGACACTGCAATGGGCGGACAGCCAAGCAGAGCCATGGAGATAAGTGAAATGAACGGACAGCAAAGTCTGTGTGCCTGCATGCAAGTCTGGAATGCAAGTAGCGAAATGGACAACAGCAAAGTCTGTGTGCCCCTGCATGCAAGTCCACCAGCCCACCTGCCTGCTCACCAAGGCAGAACCGACGAAGAGCGCAGAGCTCGGCGCAAATGAACAAAGTGATAAAGAAAGGGGTAATTAGAAGGCAGAGCAAACAACAGACAGGGAAAGTTGTTAAAAAGGGGGGTAGTGTAATGAAACGCCAAAACACGGACTGAGAACAGTGCTGATTTCTGGGTTTTGCCGCTGGAATGTCTGCCTTGCTGAGATTCCTGCGTTGTGCTGAGTTTTCTAAGTCTGTGTGTGTATGTGTGCGTGCTTGCTGGTCCATGTGCCTGTCTGAGTGCACGTCTGCCTGAGTGTGTGTGGGGCCCGACAGGGCACTTGGGTGTTGGGAGGCCCGAGGGGCCGGTACTTACCTGCGGCTGTGACTTAGGGTTGCAGTGGGAAAAAGCACTCAACACCAGTAGAGGTAGACGTGTCGGGAACTGAAGGCTGAGCAGAAGAAGACAAAAGTTGGCATTTTAGAGGCCCAGTAGCAGCAGGCTAGAGGTAGGCAGGTACCAGTCCAAGTAGCCTGAGTCTAGGGCCTGTGCAGACGATATCAGAGCCTGCAATGATGTTTCCCTCCGAAAGAGAGGAGGTACCCGTTGCTTGGAGGCAGCCCGGCCTGGACGTCAACGCCCAAGAGGCAAGAAGGCCGCAATATCTCCAGGTAGAGCACTGGGCTCTACCTCATTTGTGGTATGCAAGTTTGGGCGTCATGCTGCTTGAGCGGGCGCTGGTTCTCAGAGCGCTGCCTGGGAGGAAGGAGGGGAGCTGGGCACTCTGCCTGGCTATGGCGAGCAGCCCAGCTTGAGGAGGAGGAAGAAGGGGGCGAAGGCGGAGAGTGCCGAGGTACCTACCCGGCTGTGGTGGACACCATCTACATCACCTTGTTAGGTGAGCTGGGTGTTGCCTGGGAGGAAGGAAGGGAGCTGGGTGCTCTGCCTGGCTATGGCGAGCAGCCCAGCTTGAGGAGGAGGAAGAAGGGGGCAAAAAAGAAGAGTGGAGAGGTACCTACCCGGCTATGGTGGCAAGAAACCCAGCTTGAGGAGAAGGAAGAAGCGGGAGATGAGAGTGACGAGGTATGTACCCGGCTATGGTGGACAGCCCAGCTTGAGGAGGAGAGAAGAAGAGGGCTGGGCGCTCTGCCTGGCTAGAGCGAGCAGCCCAGCTTGAGGAGAAGGAAGAAGGGGGCAAAGGAGGAGAGTGGCGAGGTACCTACCCGGCTATGGTGGACACCATCTTCATCACCTTGTTAGGCGCTGCATCTGGAAGGCGCCAGTTCGGGTAGTGCCGCACCAAGGAAGCTTCGAGGCAGAGTCAGGCATGGCGGCCTGAAGAGCAGCGGCCATAGCTGCTTTGCATTGTCTTTTGCACAGGAGGGCAGAGCCCTTAGTAGTCTGCCATAGCCTAGGCCTGTGTGATGAAGAAGAAGAGGAGGCCAGGGCTATGGTGGACCTCTTGTTAGGCTGGCAGTAAGAGGGGACTTAGGATATTAATTCTGGTTCAACCACTCTTGTTGTTATTATTATTTGGGAGAAGAAGACAAGGAGGAGGAGGAGACTGAGACAGAAGGGAGAATCGTCATTGGTCTTGCTAGTGTACATCTTCTTCTTCGTCTTCTTCTTCTTTCTTTGGTCTCTCTCTCTTTGCAAGCGCTTTCATTTCTTATGCAATTGGGTGGCTTTGTCTTTACTTGTGAGAAAGCTAAATCTAGATGAGGCGTATAATGCATTGCTAAAAAAATGTCTGTAATTATCTGGATTACCAAACAAATACCAGCAAGAGATCCAAAACCCCACCCATAAGAGGGGAAAAACAAAACAATAAACACGGAACATATCAAGAAACAATCGAGAAGAGCAAGGGATGCAAGACAACGAATTGAAAAAAAAAAAAAAAAAAAAAAAAAAAAACACAAAACAGGATGCAACCAATCGACTCAATACACAAAAAGCGTAACCCACTACGGAGCCCATTTTGGCTAACAGTACCCTACGTATGTAGCTGTTAATAACCAGAGATCATGAGTACAAATCCTATCTGGATAGGATGAATACCATGACGTTGACGAGAGAACACACCTTTGGTATGGCATAGATGTTCTCTGACATCCACCTCAGAAAATCAGTCTGCCATACTGAGACTGAGTCTTCTGCTGGCGAACCATTGAAACCCATAGCCTTGAAAACAGCATCTGTCCGCACAGAAAGAAACTGTCTACCAAGGACCTTCGACAACCCGCCAGCTGCTGCAAAACCTGGGCATGTCTCCAGATGTCAGCCTGGTATGTCAGAGAAGAGAAAGCCTAGCAAAAACTTCTTTTGTAGGCATGTTCTACAGTTGCAGAGCTGCACAGTTGCAACAACGCATTGGATCACACATTATTGTCCCTCCAGGAACTCCCTCTCTCTCTCTCTCTCTCTCTCTCTCTCTCTCTCTCTCTCTCTCTCTCCCCGGCCCCCCCGCCCCACTCGAGTCCTTGACATCCTTTATTCTAATCCTGTATTGCTCGTGGTTAGAAATAATTTCTCATAGTTCACATTGCATGCATGAGTTCGAATCCTTGCAACAATGGGGACCGCATAGACACGACCAAAGGCCGAGGCCCCACTGGTGCTATGTTTGCGCTGACCGGCACGGAATGGGATAGAATGCTGTGCCAGTTTGGCACACAACAGGTGCTTGGAACCAAACCAGGGAGTAACAACTGTAGAAAAGAAGAGACAGGATGGATGTCCGGACAGGTGACAAAGAGGGGAAGGGAGGGAGACAAAGGCGGAGGGAGAGAGAGACAAAGACGGAGGGAGAGAGAGGGAGGGAGAGAGAGGGAGGGAGAGAGAAAAGAGGACAGGGAGGGGGAAGTGGAACTGGAGAAAGTGCAGGCATAGTTGAAAAAGTGTAGACGGCAGAAAGATAATAGAGAGGCATAACTCAACAAGGGCCTCGGTTTCAAATACTGTCCTGAATCTTGCTTTCACACTACCGGGTTCACCAACTTTAGTGTGAAGCGCAGCTGTAGAGCGCAATCATCACGTTGCAATTCTATTAAAAAACTGAAGACTCCTCCATTATTCGGCTTTTAGACCTTATCCAACTTTATCGGGGACTTCATTCTCTAGCATTCAGGGTTTCAGAGTTCTTTCATTGTGCTCATGGCATCATGCAGAATTCAAACCCAGCACCTGACCCCAAGTACAGAAAGGTAAGTACAGAATTATAAATCACTGCTTGCTCTTTTTCTGTTTGTTCGTTCTTCTTGTTTTGGTGCTGGTTGAATTCGAGCCTGGGACCCATCAGTAGGTATTATGTTCGCCAGGCATAGGTTTTGATATCTATATGAAGCCTTTCTAGACCTGAGTGGATAGGATTGGAATTTTGCAAGCAGGAACCAAGTACATCCAGGGCATTGCCAGGTTTAAAAACAAGCAGCGATTTATACTTACTTGCTGTAGCTGCACCAGGTGCTGGGTTCGAGTCCCACCAGCTTTCAATACGCAAAAAGAAAAGGAATTAAAAAAAATAAAAATTGCTATGCTCAAGTACGTTTTTTGAAAACAAAAACAAAAACAACAACAACTGAACTTTTCTCCTTTATTTAAGTTTATTACTGTCTAATACTAAACTGCGGTTGATAGTTAATGTTTATGAATAGCTTTGTGATTTTATCCTGTTATAAACTTATAGCTTATAAATAGGAGACCCTTTTTTGGGCAGGAGGGAATCAGGCCCAGCGTCCCATCTGAAAACGTTTGCAACTTTGCATACTGCCATACTCCAAAAAAAACAAAAAAAGGAAAAACAATTTAAAACATTGTTTTCTGCTATTTACAACTTTGGTGTGGGTTGGTAGTTGCACCAACTGTAGCTGCTCCTGCCGGTTTCTCATCATTTTTCCTTTATTCTTTTCGGTTTTCCCTCAGTCCACGGTTTGAATTAAAAATTCAGAGCCTCAGGTCGTCAGCTTATCCAAACAACTTGAAAATGCATCCAGACATGTCGAGATCCCATGTCCAGATTGGTCCAGTGCCAAGGTCCACGATAGCCATGTCAAAAAAAAAAAAAACTATAGCCATGCAAAGACCCATACCTGCAGACTTTGCACCACGAAATATTTCAGTGCACAAGAAACCGACGATCTTCTCTCGGAATTGTTTGATTTCCTCCGTTCGTTGGCAGGCTTCCTTTTCGATCTCTTTGCAATCACTCTGCATACCATCACCATTCATTTCATCCAATGAATGGTACAAAAAGTTAAAAATTTGAAAATTCAAAAATGCTACAAGACGGAGCAGCGCAGCTCTGCCTGCATGAATCAGGGACGCTTGTTTGAACACCAATGTGGGGGCAAAGCACAAAGAAGGCATTCTGTGGAATTGGGAAGGTCTTGAGATGAGAGAAGTGGGTACTCAAGATGTTTGTGCAGAAGGTGGGGAAGATCGGAAAACTGAGCTGGAATACACGAGAGAGGAATGCCGAGAGGCAGTGAGAAGTAGGGAAAGATGATTAATGATTAGGAGGAGGAGGAGGGAGGTGTTCGAGGATGTGGCGATGCAAGGAGCAGTGGCAGTTTGAACACATATTCGAGCGTCATGGGCAAGTAATGCAGAAAATTAGGACATAAAGAACAACCAGTGCAGCTCCACCCACATGAGCAAGGGGTATTTATGGAATTCAGATTAGTGTGCATGCAACCTCCAATAGCATGTGAATGCTGGAAGCGATGAAGGGGGATATGTAGGTCGGTTAAAAGACCAGCAATGGTCAACTGTTTGAAAAATAAAGGCAGCATTTTAGGGTTTAGGTATTGGAAACGAAGAATTAGACCCCTCCTAAGGCGCACTAAAGCGATAGCTCAAACACCGCCACACCATCAAAGGCAACTCCACACACCCACGCCACTTTGGCACCGAATCAACCTGCTACTAAGCCCAAGTAAAGACATAGTCCATGCCCCGCGCCACTTCAGAGACATAGAATTAAACCACCGGTACTTACAACCCTTCCCTTCCCGAGCCTAGAAAGGCCCTGGCGACCAAACAAAACGAACTGACGCGTTCTTTATTTTTTTTCCCGAAAAAAACATCCACGGGCTGTCTATTATTGGGGGTGATAAGGGCATCCTCCAATAATAGGCTCCCTGTTATAGACGGCTCCAATCGTATTGGTGGGGAGCTGCGCCAGCTGGAAACTGGGTCCAGCGTCCCAATTACAAAGACGGAGCAAGTTGTAAGCTGTAGATGCCCTCAGACGAGGGGGTTGACTGCCCATCAGACGGAGATGGTGGACTAACCTTTTTCCTAGCAACCGCTTGATCAATCATGTGCCCAGCTACCTACCAAACCCTAATGAAGGAGAATCCCCAGACCCCTCCAATCCAGAGAAACACACTACCCACCCTCCTATCTCATCCACTCATCAGGCCGCAATTACAGTTATCTGATTTTCAAAGTCATACCCACCCATCTCAAACGATGAACAGGAAATTCCAAAAATGCGGGCATCAGGTCTCAATTACTGTATCTGATTTTGAAAGCCATACCCCCCCGTCTCAAACGATGACCAGAAATTTCCTAAAATATGGGTGGGCACAGCATATTGTGGGGAACGCGCCATGTGGTGTACGCCTGTCATTACTTGAGCACTAGCAAAAGAAACCCACATGGCTTACATGTCGTTCTTATTCTTGTCCCTGGACCTCTACCATGCAGCACCCCAGCTCAGCCCACTGAGCTACTCTGTCAACTGATCTGTCTGCACATTGTACTCGGCTGGGGGACAAGTACGTGGGGTGCCAACCTGGCACCAACTGATCATGCGCAGGGGAGGTTGAGGGTGGGGTGCCAACCTGGCACCAAATGATCATGCGCAGGGGAGGTTGAGGGCCGGCAGAATCCAACCCACAACCTCCCCGTTGCAATGCCAGAGCTCAAACCCAAGCTGGGAAGCACTGCATTGTCTCGAAGTTGTCTTGCATTGCGAACTGATCAGAGTCATAGCACCTCTTACTTCCCTCGAAAGGCTTTTATTTCCCTTCTTCAGATGATCCGTACCTTGGTTAACTCTTTCTCTTTCCTCCCTGGAGACTTTTTCGGTTCTGCCTGAAAGATCAAGCACAGAGCCCATGTGCCAACATGCATGTGCTGCTGAAAGTCCTCCAGCTGCATCTCGGCAAAACTGTCAGTAGCAGGACATAAGCAATGATCATGCCCTAGCAATAGCGCCTGGATCGCACGCACGACCTGCAAGCACCAGATCAAGAGTTTCAATCCAATAAGAACACATTACAGCAGTCTCGCTATGCCTCAGCAAAACCCCTCAGAACCGGGAAATGATTATGGCTTAGCAATAGCAATATAGTCACACATAATACCTGCAAAGAACGCGTCGTAGCACACACATGTTAACAGTTGACAAACAGATCAAAAGTTCAGATCCATTTCAATACAACAACACATCCCAGAAAGTGACTTGGGACCTGAGGGAGTTCAGTTGTGTCTCAGCAACATCCTGATCATGCTAAACCGAAGCAATGATCATGTCCTGCCCCCTGCTCTCTCTCTCTCTCTCTCTCTCTCTCTCTCTCTCTCTCTCTCTCTCTCTCTCTCTCTCTCTCTCTCTCTCTCTCTCTCTCTCTCTCT